AATTTGCATAATTAACAAGCCCTTATAGCTCAGTGGTAGAGCGTCAGTCTTGTAAACTGAAGGTCTGTAGTTCGATCCTGCATGGGGGCATTTCATGGGCAGCTTAGTTGGTCACGGGAGTGAAGTGAAGTTTGCAAACAATGACCCAGGGTTTAGTCTCCTAATTCGTATAATTTTTCAAATGGGCGTAAGTAAAATAATTATATCAGACAATTATGTTAATAAATAACTATTATTTTGGTACATTAATTTCAGCCATTTAGTACATACAAGTAATTCCTTAATTATAATAATATTATACCTTAGTTAAAATGTGTGTGTGTGTGTGTATAGAATTATAAATTTGCATAATTAACAAGCCCTTATAGCTCAGTGGTAGAGTGTTAGTCTTGTAAACTGAAGGTCTGTAGTTCAATCCTGCATGGGGGAATTTAATGGACAGCTCAGTTGGTCATTACTCTGACACGGAGCCACAAGATACGATTAAACCCATAAATCCCACCCATTGATTTAGTCAAAATCAACTATTCTTTAACAAAAAAAGTTCCATACTTTTAATCTACAAAAATGTGCACTACAAGGCACAAAATGTAGGGATGGGCATTTCAGTATTCGGTTCGGTTTATGTTTGTTCGATTCAAAAAAATGAAACCATTCGGTTTAACATTGTAGTTTGGTTCAGTTTGAAAAAGTTCGATATCGGTTCAATTTGAAAAAATTTGATTCGATTTATAAACCTCAATTCCCAACATTTCATAGTGTTCTAGCACAAATAATTAATTATTTATTTATTTTTACTAATTATTTAGGAATAATAATTCGTTCTGCATCCATTCAATTCAATCAAACTCATTTAATGAGTTTATAAGTTATAACATCTTTTAAAAATGGACCAAGTCAGATCAGAGTATTTTATAAGTTATTTATATAGTTTAGAAATTTTTTTGTTCAAATCCAAATCAGTCAGCAAAATCAGAAATAACTGAAATAGAAGGAAAAAGGAAATCACCCAAACGAATAGCACATGACCACAACCATGAACAACAGTGTTCCACTCGCATATGTAATATTTTCACTTCAAGTGTCATAAAGTCACATTTCACAGACATACAACGAAAATTAAATTCCAATTTTATTGAATGCATTAATCAGATTACCTAGGTAATCTCAGATGACCTGGTAATCTCAGATGACCCGAACCAAACGCCCCTTTAAGGGTATTTTATTTATGGTAAATTAAAAATAAAGAATTTTCAAAATTTGAGAATTAAAGATAGAACAAATCCAAATCGTGTACTCAAAATAAAATGTAACCAAGTTAAGGGACAAAAAATGTAATAAACTCAAAAAACTTCAACCTTTCACTTTTGCTAACGATTGCGATGACATTTTTCGTATATATACGCAGATCTAGCATTTTTTTTTTAAATAATTAATGCTATAACATGGAGAACAAAGTTAACAATTGAGGCTTTAGTTTACAGGTTTTAAATCTTATTGTCGGGTTTTAATTCAATTGTTATATTTGTTTTATTTTACTACTTTTTTGTGTCTTGGAATAATATTCAAATTATGATAGACGAATGAAAGAAAAAATCATTATTTTATAAATGTTTACTCTTTTTTTTTTTTTGTGACAAAAAAATATGTAATCACTATCTAAAAATTTTGCAATAGATAAACTTCGGTAATAGCTCTTTGTGTTTCAGTAGGTTGAGAAAGTATATGAACAGATACTACAATGTAATAGGGCTAGTAGCATTCAAAAAAAAAAAAAAAAAAAAAAAAAAAAAAAACTTCGGTAATAACTTTCAAAATACATAAGAGGTTTCATTTTTATTTCTTGGAGTGAAAAATAATAAATAACCAAATATTTTATTTCAATTCAAATTTTCCAACCAAATGCCCCTAGTGTATTCCTGATGGATATATTATGATCGGAGCAAACCGATCCGGGAAGCGGAGCAATGAAGTATGGAATGGACCCGGGGCCCGGAGGTTGAGCCCCGTGCTCGGCCCAAGGTGCCTCACCCAAATGAGGTCGGCCATGTGAGCTCGGCTATGGTGAGCTCGACCATATGAGCTCGGCCACATGAGGTCGGTTATGTGAGCTCGGCCCTATGAGCTCGGCCATGGTGAACTCGGCCATGGTGAGCTCGGCCACATGAGGTCGACCATGGTGAGCTCGGTCACGGTGAGCTCGGCCATGTTGAGCTCGGCACACCCGCGGACCCGGTCTACACCTGGGCGCGGTCAACTCGGAGATCCAACTACCCCCCGATTTAGGGGGAGTCGGTTGGGGGGTTTAGCTTGTATAAAAGCCCCCCTCCTTGTCCTAACAAGGCATGTCCACTATTTTACACCTACTATTGTCCTAATCAAGCCTTGTAATAGCTTATTAGCGATACTTAATACAATATACGGTCCCGCGACCTACGGTCCCTACGACCTTACGATATCCTTGCGTTACATTTATTTATTTCATATCACGTTCTTATCCAGATTCATTGATTCAGGTCTACCACGGGTCAATTAATTCCATCATTGGTGCTCTTGTTGAGAGCTGTTGTACCAGCTCAAGCGTGTTCTTTATCCTTTGATCCATCGCGATCAGCTACCATGGCAAGGTCGAGATCCAACTTTCGCCACACCAACGGTTCCCGTGGCACCTAGCTCGCCGCAACCGGGAACGGCCCGAACGGGTCCCCAGCCTCCAACCGGCAGTCTCCACCAGGTCGGGGGGACATGAGGGATCGACTCACCAACCACTGCAGTGGTGGTGCACCGCCTTCCGCCGCCACTCCTCTGAATCTCGCCCCGCTACAGGAGAGGGCGGTTGCCCTATAACAATGCTCTGCGACTTTAGCTCACCTCGCAGAGGGTCCCCAAGGAGGTGTGCACGACGGTCTGGAGGCCACACAAAGGACTCCGACCCCGCCTCCACCTCCCCCAAGGGGGCGTGATAGGTCGAGCACCCGGCTATCCCGGGCACTCAACACTCAAATCGGAGAGGAGATCCACAAAGGGATGATCGCGCTCCAACAAGCTACCACCTTGTCAACTCGCCCCGTTGAGGAGCTCCAAGGAGGTGTCCGAACCCTCTTGCTCGTCCACGACGTCTCTTGAGGGGTGCCTACATTTACCCCAACCCTCCCGAGGGGGCGTGATAGGTCAAGCACCCGGCTATCCCGGGCACTCAACACTCAAATCGGAGAGGAGGTCGACTCACCCCGGGCATTGGACACGCGGGGAGGGGGTGACATCCGTCAAGATCGCCATCGAGAGGGCGATAGAGGGAGGTCGACCCATGCTAGGCCCGCCTTGGCGAGGCTGGGCAAACGCGTATCGACTCGAGATAGGTTGGGCCCAAGGCCAACCCCTAATGCACCACAAGCGGAGGAATCATGTCCCCGAAGGTCGCCGAGCCGTGGCTTTTGAGCCTTGCCACGGCAGGAATTTTTATCACGTAGGTCGCCGAGCTGCGGGCCTCGAGCTCCACCGCGACGCGAGTAGGCCTCCCGAGATGAGAGGTCGCGAGAAATGAAAGGTCGAGCTCCAAGCACCCATCGTGACGAGGTCGAGCAACTCCGTAAGTGAATGAACAACCTCCCATGGGGGATGATCGCGCTCCAACAAGCTACCACCTTTTCGACCCGCCCCGTTGAGGGGCTCCAAGGAGGTGTCCGAACCCTCCTGCTCGTCCCCGACGTCTCTCGAGGGGTGCCTACATTTACCCCACCCCTCCCAAGGGGGCGTGATAGGTCAAGCACTCGGCTTCCCCGAACCCCAGGAGCTCAAATATTGACATATTTGTAATTTTGCATTTCCTCATTTTACGTAAAATATCAGAAATAGTTTGCTGACTTAGAATACTGATTGATTCAGTTAAGCACCTACTTAGTAACGATAGATCATTAAGAGAACATCAGAGAAAAATAAACAAACACACAGAACGAACACTCACAATGTTTACCCAGTTTGATACGGTGTGTATCTACGTCTGCGGGACGATCACATAGGCGTCCAATCCACTAAGTCATAATCCAATGTACAAAGGTAGATATACAATAATCTTACCCAAGTACCCCACACAAGGTATATACCCAGTCTACACAGGTTTAGTGGATTGTTGAAGATGGAGAGCCATGCATACAGAAGTCCAATGAAATCCCTTCACTTGGAGAGCCAGCTCTGATGCAGTCCACTTCAGTGACGCTATATAAGGTTGTTCCCACAACAGTGTGATCTTAGTGTCCTTTCGTTTAAGCAGCAGTAACTCTTCTCAAGTTCATCATCTTAATCACCGTGAACATGTTGTATTGAGAAGGTGCATGACCATCAAAGATCTAGACTCATTAAACTGATATGGAGTGTTTCTTCTTCTTATTTGGCGTAACCCTAGTTCCCTTAAAGAACTGGTACTTATAGATCCTTCAATAAACACTCTCCATAAAATGTCTTTGATTGTAGAAGGTAGGACTATATAAGAGGAATGTAATCTCAGCAGATTAGGTCCATTACCTTCTTTGAAGATACGCTGATCGTCTTTCCATACTAGGCTGATAATACCGCGTAAGACTCTTAAGGAAACAACTTTCCTAAATCAGATCTTCAGTGTCAGTTCTTCTGTCGTTGCTTCTGCTTGATCAGTAAACTGTAGACCCAACCGGACAGACTCTAAACCTATCTTAGTATGCCATAATAATATTGTCAATTATAATATGGGGTTTTTGAACATAAAAACACTAACAAACTCCCCCTTTGGCTATTATTTGGCAAAACAACTCAACTATATAAAAAGAACTAAGATAGGTTATTAAAAGAAGCAACCCAAGTGTCTAAACTGATTACATAGGATAAAAAGAACATAAGATCCAAAGCAGTCTAAAAACAAAGAAAACGACATCAAAACATAACGCCCAGCTAGGGCCAGAAAGTACTCGATCACAAAAACTCCCCCTGAGTTACTACTCCCCCTTTTTGCCAATGGTAGCCAAAGATCAAGCATTTGAGGGAGAGTCACAGTCAGACTTCACGGGATCCTCAGCAGCAGCAGCAGTATCAGACAGGCTCATGCGGAGAAGAACAGTAGCTAGCTCAGTGCGCGCACCCGTCAGTTGCTTGGCAATGATGCCGTGCACCGTCTCAAGATCAGCAACTCGCGCCTTCAATTGTTCGGAAAGCTTCACATCTTTAGCATGAGGAGACTCATCATTCACAGCATCAGGTTCCGAATTGGATGGGGCAGTCACAGGAACGACATCCTTAAGATGATCTCCAGAAAGAAGACGTTTATCAACAGTATATAGCAGCGTCGGACTGATCACTTCGCTGGGCATAGGCTTAAGACCCTGAGAGGTAAGGATGCCAAAAATCAGATTTGGAAACGGTAATCTTACCTTCTGTTCCCGGGGATGAATCAGAGTTAAAACATGATAAAAGATCCATTTGCCCAGATCACACTGCATCTTAGTTCCAATTCTAAATAAGAACCCTGCCAGAAGCTTGCCAACTGTGTTGAAATGAGCTGATGGAAGCCAGTTGTGCAGAGCCAGGCGATGTAGGATGACATATCTAGACGTGAGATGCGAGCTCAGCAAATAGTCCTTATCTCCTGTAGGCCAAGATGTAGTATGTCCACCGGTAAGAGTTTTGGCCACCACGTCCCATTCAGTAACAGCTTCTTCTTGCACTGTAGGCAAGCCATAGTATTTATTTATCACATCTGGTCCAAAATCATACCACTTCCCTCTGATAAGATTTGCATCGGTCGTCGCCCTGTGAGATTGTCAATCTCATCACTGAGATTGCAATAGAACTCATATGTGAGCAGCTTGGAGTAAGGGCAAACATCTGTAACAGTTTTCAAAAGACCAACTTCATTCAGCAAGGGCAGGATGTCGCAAACGGAGTTCAGTTGATTCTCATCCACAGTTCTTTGAACAATCAGCTCCCTTCTGACCATAGTGGCCCATTTTGTTTGTGCAGCAAGGGATACAAACTGAGGTTTGTAAACAGTAGTATCAATTCCTTCAATAGGTGGAACCTCCGGAGTTACACTTCGACCTCTTGACCTTGTGGTAGGTTTCCCTTTTCTGGCAGAGGGGGCTGGTGCAGAAGCAGCTTGAGCAGCAGTAGTTCCTTGTTGCTTAACAGAGGAACGTAGAGTCTTGAAAACTTGGTGGATAGGTGGGTCTCCTTCAGGCTTAGCAGTCTCACTCGACTTTCTCTTCTTCACAGGCTGATCCACATCAACATTATCAGCACTGGTTTCAACAACAACCTTCGTTGGAACATTCTTCCTTTTTGTCCGTCTTGTTTCTCTAGATGGGGACTGGACTGGAGTCACAGAGTGGCTAGAAAAACAGAAACATTTGCAGATGAGCTCCCAACAATATTTGATATCTCTCGAATTCTGAAATTCGTGGAATCAGGATGAACAGTTGCCTCAACAGTAGGGGCAGCAGAAGAAGGTGCTTGGGATCCATACACCTCAGCCAGTATCTTATCATCTTCACTGGAGGATTCTGAAGGGTGTATCACTCGATAAGGTTGAGGGATCGAAGCAGATGGTAACCCAGCAAAATGTCGCACATGTTCCAGGCTTTCTCCTAAAGATGTTGCAGTGTAAACAGGGACTCCACCTGTTTTCTCAGACTTGTGAGGACTTGATAAATCAACAGTATTAACAGTTGCAGGTAAGGCAGGAGGATCAACAGCAGGACAAGACTCTTTAGAGACATTAACAGTTTCAGACGGAGGCAGAGCAATATTCTCAGAAGCATAAACAACCAGACTCAGTGGATTTGGCTTATCAGAGGACTTTGTTTTCTCATCAGACACATGCAACGCATCAGATTTTTCACCAGCAAAATTAGTCACAGGCAAAGATAGAGGGTCAACATTCACAGGGGACTTCTCGGAACCCAAAGCAGATTGATTTTCAGGCAAAACAGACACAGACGATGGAATAGAAGAATCAACAGGTCTATCAGGAGAAATTTCAATAGGGGTTTCAGAATCATTTACCCGTTGTCGAAGAACCTCCTGTCTGTGTGTTGCTTCTCTCTGAGCAGCTTCAAGATACAGAGCTTGGGACTCCTCTCATCGTCGAGCTTCTTCAACAGATTCTAGGGCATGTTGAGCAAAAAATTGAAGGAATGCCCCGGCCCGATTTCCATCCGAGGGTTCTGGAATAAACACTGGAGAGACGTCATCACTGGCTTCGGCGACCAACACAAGAAGTTCAGTTACATCATCTGCCGACCATTCAGCATAAAATTCCGGATAGTTGGACATAACAGTCACCAGAATCTCGTCGCGAAGCAGAGGATCAAGCTTGAGCTTCTTCTTCATAGCCAACTGTAGAAGCGTCTGAATGTGTTTGAGGGCTGCCGCCGTAGGGTGTACCTTACTTCCAAGCTTAATGATGATGTTTCTTACGGGGTCCGCCATTTAAGATTAAGTGCGAGGAGAAGAATAAAACACCGAGAGCAGATAAGCACGGGAAATGGAGAGATGAGAGCTGAGGTGAGTTCTTTCTTCTTGACCCGGTATCATATAGGCTTAAGGGTGATGAACCCTAATTAATGCGGCAAGTCAAAATATCATGCAGAAGTGATTGATGGACACAACGGTACAGCTCCTTTTTAGGAAGGAAACGGAACCCAAGGGAATTTGAAATTCAAAAAGCATTGAGATCTTTTAAGATATCTTCTGAGAAGAATAAGCTTAGATGATCTTCTTAACATAAAAAGAGATGAGTCTTTAAGGAAATTCAAAGTCATAACACTGACCCGTAATAAATCTACTCCTCTCTGACGGACCAACTGCTTTAGTCAGTCAATTCTGCAAATTCCCAGAGCAGATCTGAGAATTTCAAAACGATTAGCATCCAGTGGCTTAGTCAGAATGTCCGCCAGTTGTTTGTCAGTCTGAATGTATTCCAACTCAATTTCCTTGGATTCAACCAGGTCTCTGATGTAGTGATGCCTGATGTCAATATGCTTCGTTCTGGAATGTTGAACAAGATTCTTGGAGATGTTGATAGCACTGACATTGTCACAAAAAAGTGTCATTGTTCCTTGTGTAAGACCATAATCCAGAAACATCTGTTTCATCCAAACCAACTGAGTACAGCAACCACCTACGGCTATGTATTATGCCTCTGCAGTGCTTAGTGAGATAGAGTTCTGTTTCTTACTTAACCATGATACTAAGTTCTTCCCAACAAAGAAGCATCCTCCAGAAGTACTTTTCCGATCATCAATATTCCCTGCCCAATCAGCATCACAATATGCAACCAGATTCAGTTCACTATCCTTGGAATACCAGAGTCCATACTGTATCGTTCCTTTCACGTATTTCAGAATGCGTTTTGCCGCTATCAGATGTGATTCCTTTGGGTCAGATTGATACCTTGCACAGATTCTAACACTGAACATTATGTCTGGTCGACTGGCTGTTAGATACAACAGACTGCCTATCAAGCTACGATTGATGTTATCACATCTGTGCTTGTTTTTATGGTTATTTTGAATCATCATAGTAATTAAGTTCTTTAATTTTGCTTATTTAATACAGGTTTTCCTTGCTATTATCATTTAATTATGGTTCGTACTTGTTTTGAATGTTTTACGGTGTTTGTTAGTGTTTTTGAACCATTGTAGGTCAATTCTATGAGCAAGGGAAGTTCAAGGATGAGTTTGGAGCAATTTTGGATGAGTTCGGGGCCCAGTGGACTCGACGCGTCGAAATTTTCCAGTAGCTAACTAATTCGCGCACAGGAAGTCTCGACGCGTGGAGAAAATTCTCGACGCGTCGAGAGAATAGGCGTCTATTTCTGGGATAAAAACAGACGCCTAAAGTGGCGCAGCTGGGCAAAATTCAATACAAGCGCGAGATTTCTTTTCCTAATATCAATTGCACGGATTTCAAGGCTCATATCTCCATATTAAAAGTTAGCAATTCAAGGAATCTTCCAAATTCTAAATATCATTAAAGACGGCAATTTCTTTATTTAAATATAGGAATTAGAATTTGAGTCCAATTTGGTACAAGATTCCTATTTCATCTCAACTTTGTACCCACTATAAAATCCCTCCTTCCTCAACCCTAAGACAGAGGACCGAGACAGAGAGATTTTCAGAGATTCTTGGAGACAAGAAGGAGAGAAATCAAGAGCCACAAGTTGTCTTGGAAAGCAAGAAGAAGACTAGGGAGATTTGGGAAAATCGTCTGGTTAATTCTTGTACTCTTTTGATGATTTGTAATTCTTTATTTATATTTGCTATGTATAATTTAGTCATGCTTGGCTAAATTCTTTAGAGATTCTTGGGTAAAAGTGTTTATGAACCTATGTGCCTGAGCTCTCAGTTTCTTTAATATATTATTATTTGGGTTTAATTCTTGTGTTGCAATCGTGATAATATTGTTTGACGCTTGTAATTAATGGCCATAGTTACTAGCTTCATAGCCATGTTTGTGTCACCAATGGGAGTTGGGGCATAAATTGGGGCACACACGATTGCACCTAATGGTTGGTCCTTGGGAAAGGGGAACTTATTAGGGGAAGTTTATTCTAGATTGATGCCAATCGGGAGATGGTAGTAATTAGGAATAATTGAATGCTGATCTTTGATCTTATTGGGTGTTTAAGCCATAGGAGTGGAAATTCACTAGGAATAGAGATTACGGGAGTAATTCGATTCCACTTTGCATTCCCACACAAATCTTAATTCCAAACTAAATATTGCAAATGATAATTGGCACTAGGTGATTAAATACTTGAATCCCATGAATCTCAACTTCTCTCTAATTGTTTTCAAAATCCTGAACCTCTGTTTTATTTTATTTATTTTATGCCAATCAATCATCTAAGTAATTGTTAGGATTAGCTCTAATGAATAAGTTATTAACTAGTGCTTGATACAACCACTTCCCTGTGGATCGATAACTCGTACTCGAGAATTATTTGTTTGCAAATATACTACGTATCAACGATAGACTGTGTTATCCACTGATATACCAGTTTCATCTTTCGATACTTTTGTAGAAGTGGAGATCGGTGTTCTGGATGGTTTACATGATTCCAGCTCAAACTTTTTGACAAGATTCTTAGCATACTTTTCTTGTGAAATAAAGTATCATTCAGAACTTTGCTTGACTTGTAGGCCTAGGAAATATGTCAGTTGACCAACCATGGACATTTCAAACTCTTCCTCCATGACTTTTACCAACTCATCAGTGTATTTCTGCAAGGTTGATCCAAACACAATGTCATCAACATAGATTTGAGCTATGGTTACATGACTTCCAGTCGTTTTGACAAACAGAGTTTTGTCAACACTTCCGCGTTTATATCCGTGCTGGAGCAAATACTGTGTCAGACGTTCATACCAGGCCCGTGGGGCTTGTTTAAGGCCATAGAGAGCTTTTCGAAGCTTATAGACATAAGAATGATGTTCTGGATCTTCAAAACCTTTAGGTTGAGCCACATAGATATCTTCATGGAGATACCCATTCAGAAACGCAGTCTTGACATCCATCTGATATAATGTAAATCCCAAAATGCAAGCGACAGCCAGCAAGATTCTGATTGACTCAAGTCTAGCTACAGGAGCAAATGTCTCGTCATAGTCAACCCCTTCAATCTGTGTATAACCTTGAGCCACCAACCGAGCTTTGTTTCTGGCTATATTCCCTGCTTCATCAGTTTTATTTTTAAAGATCCACTTCGTTCCTATTACATTGACACCATCAGGTCTTGGTACAAGATTCCAGACATGATTCCGCTCAAACTGATGTAGCTCCTCCTGCATTGCATTGATCCACAGATCATCCTGTAGAGCTTCTTTGACATTTTTGGGTTCTATCTTTGAGGTATAGCAGTAAGACCCAGATATTTCTGTCAGATTATTTCTTATTCTGCTTCTGGTTTTCATTCCATCTGAAATATCTCCAATAATGTTATCTGATGGATGGTTTTTCTGAGTTCTGGTGGGTTTGTCTTTACCAACATCATTCATGAGATCTATCTCTTGTTCCGAACTTTCTTGATCTTCATCTGATGAATCTTGTGGTTTGAGCTGACTGTTGTTATTACTTGCATCTGAATCACGTAGAGGTGACTCTATCACTGTTGAATCCACTGGTTCTTCTGGATTGTCATCGACAACCACGTTTACTGACTCCATCACAGACTGAGTCCTTTTGTTGTAGACTCTGTAGGCACGACTGTTCGGAGAGTATCCAAGAAAGATGCTCTCATCACTTTTGGGTTCGAACTTCCCTCTTTGTTCTCTGTCAGCCAGCACATAGCACTTTGTCCTAAACACATGAAAGTATTTCAGATTTGGCTTCTTTCCCTTCTAGATCTCATATGGAGTTTTCGTCGTTCCTGGTCTAAGGTAGACCCTATTTATAGTATGACACGCTGTGTGTACTGCTTCAGCCCAGAAACGTTGTGGCATATGTGAGGCATGTATCATAACTCTAGCCATTTCCTGTAGCGTTCGGTTCTTTCTTTCCACCACTCCATTCTGTTGAGCAGTTCTAGGAGCTGAGAACTCATGTGAGATACCATGCTCAGAGCAGAAGTCTGAATATAGTGAGTTCTCAAATTCCTTTCCATGATCACTCCTCAATCTCTGAACTTTTATAATAGACTCATCTTTTTCCTTCTGAACTCTTATGCACAGAGTCTTGAAGGCCTTGAAGGCTTCTGTCTTCTCTCTCAGAAAGTAAACCCAGCTGTATCGAGAGAAATCGTCTACACACACAAATATATATTTCTTTCCTCCAATGCTTTCAGTCTGTGTTGGCCCCATGAGATCTATATGGACAAGATCTAGACATTTCTCAGTGGTGATACCTCTTACTGCTTTGTGTGGAGTTCTGATTTGTTTCCCAATAGCACATGCGCCACAAATTTTCTCTAGATCAATTCTGATCTTCGGTACAGCTTTTACTGCTTCCAGTTTTATCAACTTATCCATATCTCTGAAATTTATGTGACCCAGTCTTCTATGCCAGAGTTTCGATTCATCAGATTTGGATAGGTGATAAGCAGTTTCATTTGTCAAAACATAACAGTTGTCTGAAGACCGAGTTCCTTCCATGACAAGTTGATTTGCTTTGTCACTCACTCTGCAGCAGTTACGATCGAAGCATACATTCCAATTTTGATCACATAACTGACTGATGCTAATAAGATTCGCTTTTAATCCACTGACTAGCAAGACTTCTTCTAATTGAGGTAAACCTGGAACATTTAGGACACCTTTCCCAACGATTTTACCCTTTTGTCCATCTCCAAATGTTACAGCTCAACTGCTAGGTTGAACAGCCATCAGACATTTAATGTTTCTTGTCATATGTCTGGAACAACCACTGTCGAAATACCATCTAGCGTCAGTTGTAGATGCAGTTAGAACAATGGTGGGATAACAGATAAC